GCAGTCAAATGGTTATTTCAGTATTCACTAGGGGGTGAAGGAAAAAAATTCATGTTGAGTTTATCAAGCAATTAGAATATGATTATGTAAATGAGTTTTGCTTGATCCATGCAATAGTCTGCACATCTGGAGTCCACACTGTCTGTGATAAGTTACATTTATTCACAGTCATTCATGTCTGTGATGGATGTTTATGACTGCTGAAACATTTGATATTATGAGAGTGCCTGTATTTAAATTCCTCACACACCCCTGCTAAAGTTATGGCGTGTTTATAAAACTGAAGGAAATGAGAGGGAAAATGTGCAGTTTCCAGTCAGGCTAGAGGGTTGTTGTTGTGATCTTGAAAACTAGATATGGAAATGTAAACATGGCGACTGAAGTCATTGTCCAGTCATCATGTGCAACAGAAAGAGAGGAAGAACTGGAGGAAGATATGCAGCTTTAGATTTGCATTCACAGAACTGTTATTCTCAGGGAAGCATACAGATGCAGTTCTCTAAAATCCAATTTTAGCAGCAGAAATCAAAAGTCACATCAAAGCGACATGTGTAAATTCTCCCACAGGGCACCTTTTCAAGTATACTTCATACCATTTGACATGTGGCACATGCTTCCACCTCTTTATTCTGTGTTGATCCACCTACCTCAAAGTTTAAGGCTGGTGTTATTCTGGGTTTTTCTTTCTGTCAACAAATGCTATCAAAAACCAAATCAAATAAAGAACTGATCCTACTAACAAGTACAGTTTCCGTATTCAAATGTTAATGCAGCTCATTTGTGCCATAAAGCTCTACTGTTGTGTAAAGCTCCACATGTATTGTCCTTCTGCATCAACACCAATACACCAATTGTGGCTGAAAATAGTGCCCAATGAATTAAGTATTCGCTTTAGCTCGGGCAAATGAAACTATATGACTTGTTATTATAGATGTACATCCAGTGCCACAACCAGTAGGCAAGTCAGAAAGTACTGCAAAACTGACTGCAGCTGAATTTAGTTAAAGAACTGTGTGTGTTGCATGGTTTATTATTTCATAGAACTAAGGGTTTCATTTACTTTTTACATGCATTTCAAATGTTCCACCCCTGAGTCGGTGCCCCAGTCTGGACACTCCATCCAAAATTTTCTAGATTCACTCCTGAGTTGACCCACATTTTAACTAGCACAGCAATAGAGAAATACATTTTGGAGCAGTGTTTATGTGGTGTATTTTCTTTGGAGGAAAAGTCAACTACAAGTCATTGTTTAGTGGGAATTAATGGATGCAATTGTCTATTTGGTGTTTTATCAGATTGTTTTGTGGTTAAAACATTCTTGGGTAGCTTTTAAAATAAAATGCATTTATTGTTTATAATTTCAGTCACAGATTTAAGTACTGCTTAATTTAAAAAAATCTATTAAGGAAGGTGATTCACTGAGTATTTATCTTGCAGTTAGGGTCATTTTGTTGCAGTGTATTTAATCTTTATATTAACCGGTACCTTCTACTGTAAAGTTGTTGCTGGAATGTGCACCATTTGTCACCAGCTGGATTCAGTTTCACTGTTGTTGAGTCAAAGCTATAAGGCACTCCACAAGGCAGCAGGTGGAAAAAAACAGTGTATCCATTATCTAAAATGCTGATACTACAGCAATGCCAGACAGGGAGGCTGCTCCGTTAAGTGCAGTGTGACCCTGACAGTGGGTTATCTGGTGAATTGTATGTGTCACAGCCAAGCTGCTGGTCCATATTGATGTTGCCACTGACCTTAAGTTGTTCCTTACTCAAGTTATAAAACATCTACACTGGCAAACCTATTTTTTTCCTGAGTTACTGACTGCAGTTGGAGGAGATGAGAGACGACATCATGCTAAATTGGACCCTGTCAGAGCTGTTATATCGCTGTTCTGCTGTATATCTTTGTAATAGAACAGGCAAGTGAATGAGCATTTAAAGTGAACATTTTATATCATTTTATTTGGCTGTGCGTGCTCCTCTCTCAGCAGGGCTGTACAAAAAGGTCTCTGTTGGTTGGTTTATCTAGTTCAGGCATTATGCTTCTTATTTAGAAATGAATACAGATTGTGGATCCTCAGCACATAATGCATATAACTGATGTTTACTGAAGACAAGGATGGATTTATCTGTCTTTCAAGAAGGATATAAATTCATTGATCACTGTTGCTGCTACATTTGTTACCCTGATTGGAGATTAATCACATGTACATTTTGTGCACAGGTAAGGGAGGTCCATATGGCTTCACTGCAGACCCTGGCCAGCTGAAGGGGGAGATGTACCATACGGCACTAAAGAAGAGCTCCCAGGGATTTGGATTCACCATCATCGGAGGTGACCGCACAGATGAGTTTCTGCAGGTGAAAAATGTGCTCAGCGATGGCCCTGCTGCCCATGACAACAAAATGGCATCTGGTGAGCAAAACCACTGCAGATGTGCTCTCACAATTTCAAGAGTTACTACAGAAAATGGCAAGATAGAAAGGGTGTTCCTGTTCAAATAAACATCAGCTTCTACCTGGCAGGTAAATCTGAGTTTCTAACTCTCTGTGATATGACAGAAAACGTATTCACAGCCAACTTGTATCTACTGTGATGCACCTCGAGGTATTAATTTTATCCCTGTGATGTTCATTTAACCTAACGCTGTCCCATGAGTTCAGCAAGGCCATACTGTAACTGTCAGCTCTAGCACTTTGAAGACGATCATTTTATAGCAGCCAGTGTGAAGTCTGTGGTGGGTGTGAAGCGATGTAAAATCATCATTGCTTAGTTTCTGATCTTGCCTTACAAGTGTCCACATAAACCAGCAGAGTTGAGTTCTGTGCTGTGTGTGTGTGTGTGTGTGTGATGGTTATATTGGAACAAGGTGACAGAAATCTTCACTCATCTTCCCTCCGTGTAGTAGAGGTAGAGTGTACTGTTCAATACTGGAGCAAGTGAAGGAGGGACAGGATTAAAGTATGACTGAAAATAAAAGGAAAGGGAAGATGTAGAGGGAGCTGCCAAAATGAAAGTATGAGAGAGCAGTGAAGAAGAAAGGGACGTGTTAGAGGAAAGATCCAACTGAGGATTAAATACAAGAAAAACTCCCTGTGTCACTTGCTTTCTTTTCTCCCTTTTTCTTAGGTGATGTGATTGTTGAGATTAATGGGATGTGTGTGCTGGGAAAGACCCACCCGGAGGTGGTCCAAATGTTCCAGTCTATTCCAATCAACCAGTATGTGGACATGGTTCTTTGCCGTGGCTACCCGCTTCCCCCGGATGTGGATCTAAATAGCGACGACCCTCTCCCACCTCCTCCTCCTCCCCCAGCTGCCCAGCCCCAGCAGGCCCTGCATGGTGGCGAGGTGGTGACAGCTGTGCCCCACATCAATGGACAGCCGCTGCTCGTGAAAGGCGACGTCCTCCACAGCTCTTCTCAGGAGCTCCACTATGTCACTGCGGATGCCAGCGGCCGGCCTGTCGTGGCATCCCTGCCCAACGGTAGGCAGGGGGAGCGGGGAGAGGTGGCCGCAGGGATGCTGCAGCCAGAGTTGGTGAGTGTGCCATTGGTGAAGGGGCCGGGAGGATTCGGGTTTGCCATTGCTGACTGCCCACTGGGCCAGAAAGTGAAGATGATCCTGGATGCCCAGTGGTGTCGTGGTCTGCAGAAAGGTGATGTCATTAAGGAGATCAACAGACAAAATGTCCAAACGCTGACCCATGCCCAAGTAGTGGACATCCTTAAAGACTTACCAGTGGGCAGCGAAGTCAATGTGCTAGTGCTGCGAGGAGGTGAGTGGCCGTCTGTCCCTTGTCTGTGTATCTGACTATCTCACTGTCTGTCTTTCTATATGTGTATCTATTAATCTGACAGATAGGATGGCTACATATCCATGTTGTTTTTCTCTCTCTGCTTGTGTGTCTGTCTGCCATCCTATTTTGGTATCCATCCATTTATTCTCATGCTTTTATGGCCTCTTTTGTGACATGATTTGCTGTTGCTGTCAATACAATTTCAGCAGTGCCCATGAGAGGTGAGGTCGGCGTGCTGATACTGACAGGAGGTGAGGTGGTGCTGTGGCTGGTTGAGGGACATTGACTGACCACACATTGTTGTTCTGTAGAAGCCTTGGTGATGCCACTGTGTTGCAGTCTGTGTCTGGTCACCACACTAGTGACTGATGTCTTTATTTTAACTCAGTAAATCCACTTGCACCTTCACAACTGCTGCAAATGATGATAAGATTAAATATATCTAAGCCCTATTTCTTTCCATCACATTTAGCTTCTTTACATAAACATAATGTACAAACATTCAACTCAACCCAGTTCTGTTCATGATGACTCCCATTATGGTGCAGTGCTATCTGTTAGAGGTTTTAGAGTGGGAATTACATTTTTTTGACACCAAGAGAGAAAGGAAGGAGACCAGGCACCCTTCACATGTCTCCTTCATGCATCTCCAGCCACCCCAGGGATTCACTGACCATGTCCATGTACCCCAGCTTGGCTTAGATCACATGCAGAGTGCACGAGATTTCTGAATGCCTTTATATCCATGGCCTCTTAAAGATCCATGGCTAAATGGCTATAGAAGGCAGGTCCCCAGGGGCCTCCTCCCCATAGCCATGTCTCAACCCTCCTCTCTCCTCCCTAACACTACTCACCCTCACTCCTGTGCCAGCACCATGTCCTACTCCACTGATGCACTGCATGGTCCTGCAATCAAATAAGAGGAGAGTTCAGCCTCACCCGGAATTTTGCAGTGAAGCGGGAAAATGCCACTGCATCTCCTCTTTTCCATCAGGCTCCATTAACCCCTCATCAGGCCAAGTGTTGGTCCAGCCCCACAGGGCTGCAGGCTCCAGAGGAGTGTTTGTTAACCCACTTAATGCAGAGAGATGAGGAGAGGGGAGGGGAAGGCTGTAAGAGATGATCTGTAGGGAACAATCTGAGGGCTTGAGATGGAACATGGGGGGTGTACTACACAGAGAGAGGGAAGAGACTTATTGGTCATTGAATTATATGCATGGATCTATAATGCTCTCGCCTGCTTCCTTGGCCCAGAAGAGCTCTTTTACTATTGTAGTCATCATGTCCAGCACTTGTCCTACCTTTATATTATGTATCTTTAATGGTACAAAGCTGTATATTCACTGATGGACCATTCTTTGGTGAGTACACCTCTTGAGCAGCTCACTGGTTTATTTTTATGCTCACTGATGCTGTTTCTCAGCCAGAGATGCAGTGCCACCTGGTGGACAATGGTCCAGTGATGGTTGCTGTTACAAATCATATTTGTATTTCTTACCATCTTTCTGTTGTCTGTTGGTGTCTCTCCATAGGTCAGACCTCCCCTGTGAAGAGTCTAAAGCCTGTGAGTCTAATCATATCTTTTCCTATTTCCTCACTGTTGTTTCCCCTTGAGGACTTATCCCTCAATTTAATTCCAAAGCTTTTTGTCCTTCAGCTTAACCAGTAAGCCTCTGTTGCATCGAATTAAATGATAGTAATAAATTTGAATATTGATTATGTTTCTACGTGCCTCCTTTTGTTTGCTCTGAAAAATGGTCTTAATTACTTTCTTTCAGCATTTGTATTCTTAGGGCTATTGTCAGGGGATTGCAAGGGTAATGAAGCATGGATGAGCCTCTTTAGATATGGTGGTATTACTAATACGACAGTTTTAGATAAAGAAGTTGCCCTTTCTGCCTGAATAGGCCTGTCATGGCCACAGGGGGATCTTTAGTTTGTCCTGTATATTACATTCAAATCAAGTTGCTTAGTCTTCAAAACAAAAGGAGAAATATAAAGTGAAACCAGTCTGTGTAAAAAAACAGTGACCTTTATTGCTTTTGGTAATCCATCACCATTAAATGCTCAAGCACTTGTCTGGGATAATGAGCTGTAGAGACTATCAATAAAATGTGTGATGTCCTTCATAGGTGAATACCAAAGGATGTGTGATCTAATAAAACTGGCATTTAAAGCAGCACTGTCTGTGGTGCTGGTACTTGTATTTCTTGTCAGAGACAGGAAATGACAACCAGCTCAGAGACCTTGGATGGCATCGCAGACTCGGCTCCCCAGGCCTTACCTTACCACTCCAACACAAGCACCCTGCGTTCCAGTGACTCCCCCAAACAAGACGCCACAGAGCTGTACCTGAAGTCCAAAGCCCTGCTGGAAAGCAGACGTACGTGTAGACCAGCATCACTTGTTTGCATAAGTAGTTTTTTGTTCAACTTCAAGTTAGTGATGGCGTATTACTTATCCACAGAGCCTTATACGAAAGACATTGATGTTTTTCTGAAGAGAGACATTGAAACTGGCTTTGGCTTCCGTGTTCTGGGGGGAGAAGGTCCACAACAGCCAGTAAGTATATACTGTATAACGACCTTTAAGCTTTATTAGGAGAAGATTATATTAAAAAGAAAGCTGTTGATGCAGATAGCATTAGCTTGCTTAGTTTCCCTATGTCTTAATAACAATTATTTCCATTTTCTCAGTAGTCAGCCTCCGTTATACTAATCCTCTGTCAGAATGTCTTTCCCCAGGTGTACATTGGGGCCATTGTGCCCAGCGGAGCTGCAGAGAAGGATGGTCGCCTGAGAGCAGGAGATGAGCTCATTGGCATAGATGGTGTGATGGTTAAAGGTCGTTCACACAAGCAGGTGTTGGATCTGATGACTAACGCTGCCCGTAACGGTCAAGTTATGTTGACTGTACGTAGAAAGGTCATTTATAGAGGTGAGTAACAAGCAAAGCAACACCCACTTTAATCTGAGTAAATGAAAGCTAAGTTTAGTTGTTTCTTGACCGTTCCAGAGTGTGTCATAACAAAGTGTCACTCAGTGTATTTTTCCTGAGAAAAATAATCGGACACACGGAAAAGATGCATTTTATATTTTGACAACAACAACAACAACAGCTTGCTTGTTAAAAATAGATGTGTATATTAAAATAGATTATGTGTAAGCAGACAGCTGGTGTAGCTGACCAAAGTAAACATGACAACTCAGAAGCTCAGCACATCCATAGAAAGTGTCTCAGCACTGGACATGTTGTTTTAAGAGCTGTGGACACTGTGGACACTTTTAAAAAGCAGCTCAAGGCCCATCTTTTTTTTAACTGGCTTTTGAGTGGTGATCTTATTGTGTGTTTTTTTTTTTGTGCTCTTATGTTTTTGTTTTTATGAAGATGCTGCTGTTGTATAGGATATAGCCTGTAGTTGTATTTTGTACCTTCGTATGAAGCACTTTGTGTTTATCGATCAGTGCTATATAGGTGCTATATAAAGCTACTGTGCTATTTCAAGCAGCAAGCACATTTCAGCAGGCTTCAGTCATGTTTTATAAACAATAGTCAGACATTTAATCAACTGAACTTGTGATTTTAAGTTACACTGAGTTTATAACTGAACTATTTTAATTATAGCCTATTATAATAAGATAAACACTGAAATTTGTTTTCTTGTATTTCCCAATTAAAGAACACTAGTTAACTGAACTTTGTGAGAAAATAACTCACTGTAGTTGAACTAAGAGACAAGTTTGATTTGTTGGTGTAATTTCAACTGATCATTTAAGTTTCTGAGGTCTAAGAAGTTGTAACAGTTTTCACAGTTTTGCAGAGTTTCAGTTCATCCGTGTTTCTTCATCCCAGATGTGACAGAGGAGGAGGCTCAGGAAATGGCTCCAGTCCTGGTGAATGGGTCTCCTAAGCTACCTTGCCTACCAATGCCCGGCGCTCTGGACCACGAGTCTTTTGACATCACACTCCACCGCAAGGACACCGAGGGCTTTGGCTTTGTCATCCTCACATCTAAGAGCAAACCCCCATATGGAGGTGAGAGTCAAGTCTCTTTGACCGTGCATCAACATTTAAAGACTTTCATCATCTAGATTTTAAGATTAACACACTATATTCTTGAAAATGCATGAAAATGTGTTTTGGTCCTTCTGACAAGTGTTTCATTTAACTACATAACATCTAACATTTCAATCTAT